ATTTGATCAAAATATAATTATATTTTATGATGTTCATTGATTTCAATAAAAAGTTTTATTGAAATAGGGTGTGTTGGGATTGAAGGGAATGGGAAGATAGGTAAATGAAAGGAGTAGGGTATCTCGATCTAAATTATTTTTATTTAATAAAATAAATTTCGATTTGATCAAAATATAATTATATTTTATGATGTTCATTGATTTCAATAAAAAGTTTTATTGAAATAGGGTGTGTTGGGATTGAAGGGAATGGGAAGATAGGTAAATGAAAGGAGTAGGGTATCTCGATCTAAATTATTTTTATTTAATAAAATAAATTTCGATCTGATCAAAATATAATTATATTTTATGATGTTCATTGATTTCAATAAAAAAATAAGTTAGAAGTTCAACAAAAGAGCTCTAAACTTGAACATTAAGAGAAGTAAAAAATTATCCCCTGACATTCACTAAAAGCGCCGACCGTGGGACTCGAACCCACGACCACGTGGTTAAAAGCCACGCGCTCTACCAACTGAGCTAGACCGGCGAGTTAATTAGCATACTCAGACATTTTATATGGCTTGATAAAAAGCTTATACCATGTAACCTTCATTGACCTTTTCAACTATAGTCACAATTTCATTGACTTTCAAACTTAACTATTTTAATAAAATAAATAGATATTCATTCATATTAATCCGTATATTTTATTTTATTTCATAGCAATTAACAGAGCTAATCATGTCATAAAGAAGAAGTAATAAAGTTAATCACCAAAATTAATTTTAGTTACATACTCCGTATCATATCAACGAAGTCCATAATTCTTATATTGAATCCAATCGCAAAACATAATTTACCATATTACAAGATTTAGAGAAACCATTTATGTTCATTATCAAGTGATTTCACGTGATTAATATATTCATTTTATTCTCCAATATCTATCCTATAATTCATAATTGGATTATACTTTTTATATGATATATTAATACACTGTAGAGTAAACGAACAATTTAAATTTGATTTGTGATTTTATTCTGAAAATATTATTTGTATTTGAGAGATGAGATGTTGAAATGTGTCTAAATCAAAAAAATAATTAATTATTCCGTCTGCCTCACAAAGATTTGCTTGTTTACTAGTTGAAGATCAAACTTCAATAACTTCATTTCCTTAATCTTATTACCCATTTATTACTTTCGCTTTTTGCCACAATTTTCGTACTCTCTCCGTTCCAAATTACTCGGTAGATTGTATATGTATTATTCACATGACCAAACTTCATTCATTTTATTTCTATTTTCGTTAGTCATTTGGTAGATTACTAGTTTTGTGAATCTTTTGATGTACTATTTTAACATATAATTTTTATTTTTAATTCTACACTGTTTTTTTATACTCTAAAGTAATTTAAAATTAATTTCAATTAAACATCGTAAACTGAAACGGACAATATAAATTAAGACGGAGGGAGTATAATCCAAATTGAAAATTAATTCAGTAAAGTTTACAGTTCTAGTGACAACCAAAAAGAGACCACCCACCATGAAGGAACAAACAATCTAAGGACCCTTGTCCCAAAGCATAAATAATTAAAGACTACTAGTACTAAGATCTGCAGTACAAAAAATTTACAACAGACCCTTCTTCTACACATCAAATCTGTTTTATCAAAAAAGATGAAAAGATAATTCCATTGATCAAAGTGCAATACAGCAAATCTTACAATGATGCAAATGGTACATGGATATAGAAGTTGTGATTTCGAGACCTTTTCTTTTTCTTTTTTTCTCTCAAAATCAAACACGCCCACAAAAACGATCAAACGAACCATTCAAGACGTGAAGAAAGTCCAAAGCTTTTTACCAATTGATGCCTGACCGCGGTCATCTGATTCTTCGTCGCTGTCATTTTCTTCACCCTCTGGGGTCAATGTGCTGTTGTCTTCCTCATTGAACTCTGGAGGGAGACTTTCCTCGTCTTCGGGTGTTTTTGTCTGCACAGAGTAAAATTTGTTGAGGCTGCAGTTGGAAACACTAGGGCAGAGGAGATACCAGAGATGGAAATTACCTTTGGGCCCCCACTTGAGAAGACCGTTCGCCTTTCAATGACTTTAGCATTGCTGAATTGGACAGAAGTAGTTTGATGCCCATTCTGCTCAGCAATTTCTGGTGCACGGGTGGAAGGGGCATCAGTGGTCTCTGCTATGACCTCAAGGTTGCCATTGTTTTGCTCATCTACACCTGTTTTTCCTTTACCAGCCGTTGTTCCTGGACTGATCATTGAATCATTATAATTTAGCTTCAAACATGGATTTTGTTTTCATAAAGTGTAGTGTTTCATACAATACTTTGTATGAAATAGGCATAAAGATTCTTAACACAATATAAAAGGCAAGCCATAAATTAGCATTATATCTTACCCATCAAGATAAACATACCATATATATTCCATGCTTTTTATAAGGAAACAAATCCTCAGAGGATTGCAAAATGCAAGAATATGTGACATACTGAGCACGGAAAGTGTAATTTTTTTACTCCCAAGAAAACAAACCATAAATTCCTCAGAAACTAAAACATTTTGCTAATTATAATCACAAATGGCTACACTTGACAATAAGAGGATAAACTGATAAAGTTTATGTGAAGAGAAGAGACAGATGATGCAGGCAGACACTATAATTTTATAATCCTTCCAAATCTCCATGGAATCATACCAAGATACAGCTAGTCCCTGGTTCTTGCAAAAAACAGGTAAAGGATAGGGAAAGAAAAGCAAATCGATCCAGAATACATTAAATAAAGGAAGGGTAATTGAGACTTGAATGATCTACACATAAGGCTACAAGGCTATTTACACAGGACATACTTATCTTAAGTCAAACTCCAGCTCGAAATCATTGAAAAATGAGGACGAACCCCACATTTTTTAAAATCATTTTATTTAAAAATTTGCATTGAAATAAAAAATGAAGCTTTTATAAAACTACGTCAAAAGTTCTACAAAACAATATGTGACATGACTACTTTATTTTACCAAATTATCAATGAAAACACGTAAATAAACAAAAGTTATCGAGAGATCGAAATAGTAATTGTGCCCTTTGGCATTAGAACGGAGGGAGTATTTGCTACTCCATCCATTCATCTTTAACTGACCTTTATGGCTTTTGTGATACATCAAAATTTGAATGAATATGGACATACTTCATATCTACAATCATTCATTTTTTAATGTATCAATAAAGTCATAAAGATTAATTAAAAGAATGCAGGGATATTAAATAACCCTTTTATACTTTTGTAATTCAAAAGGAATAGAAACAAAACTTTTACATATCATTGTACAAAATGATACAAATTCCTTGTATCATTTTTTATCTTCATGTCAAGCGTAGATCTTGATGAGTTGAAGAACCCCTAAAGGTCAAAGGTCTTGAATGAAAAGACTAGGTCGTCTGCACGTGCAAGACTTACTAATCTTTCAAAGAAGCAAATGAGGCGTAATGCAGAAATGAAGTGCAGGAAATGTCTACCATGATGACTGTACATCAAATAGAAGCTTTAAAAAGGAGGAATGTAAAAAGAAAGTGCAATGATGACCATATATATACTCAACAAATGAAGTTGGTATCACTGCATTAGCTTACTTTCTGTTTCTCAAATTGTAGCGAGTGCCCAGTGAATTATTATGTACACCACTTGGAGCAGTTGTTTGACTCCTCTTCCTTCGACCACCCGTTGTAACACTCTCAGAATGTCCCTCGCTCTCATCAGCATCTGGTTCAGCCGAACTCAATTTAGAACCCTGCCCTCGAGTCCTCTTCCTTCGTGTTGTGGCAGTACTAGAGTTTGCACGACTTACTTCAACCAAATCCCTGGAATGATTATCATCTGGTTGCATTGACTCTGAAGTATTACCTAGAATTACTTTAGCATCTTCAACCACTTCCTTCACAGAGCGGGTCCTACGGATTCCACCATTAGGTTTTTTCCCACGGGTGTGTCGAATACTTAGGCCAGATTGCTGTGACTCTTCAGGAACATCGTCTCTCTTTTTGTAAATATTGTCGGCATGAGTACTACCGGGCCCCTCTGAGTCTCTAATGTCTACGTCAATACTACTGTCATGCCAACGATTCTCTTCAGCAGCATATGAAGTTGACTCCAAATTTTGAGTAGTTTTGTTAGGGGACAACTTAAAAATTTTTGTGGTGCACTTGCGAAGCCAAGAGACCCGACCACCAGAATCTGATAGTTTTTGCTCAGCCGCAATTGGAGACTTTTCTACAAATGAAGCAACCTTTTGCAAAATTTCATCTCCCAGAGCAGAAAGAGAAGCCTCGCTGTTTTCCATTTCCATCAAATTGACTTCAGAAAATGTGAAATTATGTGCCGTTTCTCTGCACTGATCGCAATTCTTTATCCTTTCAACTAATGTGAGAAATTGGCATCTCTCCTTCACAAAATGTTCTCGTTGACCCTTGAGTTTCTTGCTGAGAATAGCAAGATCATCAATGTCCTTGCGTATTTCAAGCTGATGCTCTTCCAGTTTTTTTCTGTTTGCAGAGACTTCTTGTTTTTCTTTTTCTAACCTAAGCCTCTCAAAACTCACTTCTTCGAGCTCCTTCTTGGCTGCATCTTTCAAACTATGGAGTTGGCTTAACTCCCTCTCTCTTTCCTCATCAAATGCTCTCTTCTTTTCTTGAAAAGTCCTCTCCATTTCCTCTTGCTTGTTGCGCAGATCAGTTTCAAGGTCTAATCTTCGAGTTTCAAAACCATGAAGGAGTTGATTATAGTCATTATCCGCTTTTTCAGATAGCATTAACCTCTCTTGTTTCATCATTGCAGCAAATGATTCCTTCTCTATTTTAATAGCTTCTAACTCTCTCTTTATGTATTCTTCTGTAGCTGTCTTTTTGTTTCTAATTTGTTCTTCTGTGTCATGCTGTATTCTTTCAAGCATTGCCTTCTCTTCCCTGATATTATCCAAATCCTTAAGCACAGCAGCTCTTTTCTCATCTAGTAATTCCCACTCCTCTTCAAATTTCTTCTTGTCTTCTTTGAGTTCTTCACTTTGCTTCAAAAGCATTTCCTGTTCAATCCTACACTTCTCGATTGCCTGTTTTAGCTCGGCTTGCAGACGAAGATGCTCTGCCCTATCTGCTTCAGTAATTCTGAGTTTTTCAGCTTCTTCACAAATCTGCACTTCTTTTTCATTGATATCACTTTTCATCTTTTCGATTTTATCTTTGAGGGCTAGCAAACTATCTTTATCAGATGATATCTCTTTCTTCATCATTTCAAGCCTATTCTCCTCAGACATAATGGACTTCTCCTTCTCCTTCAGTGATTTTAACTTACTATCGATGTCCTTCTCTCTCTCTTTAACTCTTTCTGACTTCTTGTCCAGTGCCTGCTCCTGTTTCTTAATTTTACCCTCCAAGTGACTGAGTTCTGTCTCCTTTCTCTCCCAGTCATCTCTCTTTGTTTTTAACTCCTCATCCAAATGTTTTCTTTTTTCTTCCAGTTCCATCTCAAACTTCTGCAATTCTGCATCTAGCCTTTCTCGTTGTTGATCAACAAGCTTTTGAATCTCAACCTGTAATGGTATTAAACATCACTTAAGATCAGTAGGGTTCAGGGGAAATTGCAGTAGCTAAAATGACAATCACGATAATCTAAAGTATTAAAACTTGCCTTTTCTCTCCTGCTTAGCCTCTCTGCAAGAGCATTCAACTCATTCTCCTTCAGCTCCATGTATTTTTTGAGATTATCCGCGTCCTGCGCCCAATTTTTTTTTAATAGGATGTTTCTTTTAGAATATCTTCCACAACCCTCTTACAGAAAGTGAAAACCGATAAAATACTCACTTGCTCATTAGCAATTATCTTCTCAAGTCTACTTTTTACATCAAGATCTCTTTCTTCCAAGGATGACTTGGCTATATCTAACTTTTTCTGTTCTTCTTCCAGATTCTTTTCTTTCTGCTTCAGAATCCTATCAAGTTCATTTATCTTCTCTTCTCTCTCATTAAGGAACCTCCGACCATCACACAGTTTCTCTTCCCTTTCTTGGAGTTTGATCTCCCACTGTCGCAAATCTTCTTTGTGCTTGAAAAAAGTTATTTCATGAGCTTCTCGTCTGAAAAAAACATTGCAACAAATACAACATAACTGAATAACTACTGTGCTAGAAAGACAAGATAGTTTTAAATTAAATCACTCCTTTGTTGGAAAATATTTACCTGGAAAATGTTCTGTTTTTCTTTCTTTGGTACAGAAAATTGTGTTCTATGAAAGATTTTCCTGTGTTTGGCACTAGCTTGATCCTTTATACTTTTGTAGAAAATGAATCCCTTTAATAGAATTTCTTTTCAAAACTGGTATGGAGTATATATTTTCATATTTAAGGTGTCAAACATTATATTATAAGATGAACATGTAATTTTCATCAAAAGACATTTTCCTGTAAAACATGTTCATTGATCCACAACAAGCTATTTTCCTAGAAAATATTTTTGGCAGCTTATTTTCCAGGAAACAAACGAAGCATAAATACAGAAAAAAGAATCATACTCTGTATCAAAGGATAAGCGCTCTCTCTTAAGGACACTTTCACGGGCCTCGAGCTCGTGAAGTTTCATGTCCAGCTCCAAATTTTTCCTATTAGATTCTGCAAGCTTGGCATCAGCCATGTGCAATTTTTCTCGCACTTCAATTGACTGGTCCTGAATTCCAGCTTTGAGAGCACTGGCATCGGCAAGTTTTATTTCAGATGCAAGCTTCAGCTGTTCATATTCTGCTTGAGTTTCTCGTAAAGCCCTCTCAAGCTACATAAATCAAACATTCACTCTAAGATCAGAACAAGCACTTAAGAAAATGAGCCAAGAATAAATGATAACACAAAATTTTCGATAAGCATTAGCATTTTGGATAAAATTTTAAAGGTGTAGATTAACTATGAAAACGTTAAGGCTAAACACTAGATGGCCTTTTCAAAACACTAACTCTAACTTCTAACGCTATTGCCAAACGGGCCCAAAATCGTGCATTTACAAAGTGCCCATGCATTGCAATCTTTTATCATGTTCAATATCAATTTTTGAATGGAATTCACATAGAATTGGTGATTTAGGGAGAAAAGAGAAGTATGGGGATAAGCGCACACACATGCACACAAGGACACAACAAATTATCATGTGGAGAGACATCGTCATATCAGATGACTCTCTTCCCTAAAAGCAAAATATGTCATAAACTCGCATAGTAATGATCAGTCATTGTCAGAAAACACTTCTTACATCTGTCACACACTGCTTCTCATAGCCCAAAGCATTTCTTAACTTCTCTTCCCGCTTCTCAACTTCACCTATCGCAATCATGTGAGCTGTCTTCTCGCGCTTCAAAATTTCTCGGGCTTCTGCAAGTTCATCTTCAAGTTCATCAAACCTGGACGTCCACTCCTTTTTTTCAATTAACAGGAGTCCCATATTGTATTGATAATCAAAAAGCTGGGCCAATACATAAAATCAAACAGTTAATTCATATATTCAAAACTCAAGGCATGATAAAAAAATAAAAGCCAAAACAATGTGAAATGTACAAGTTACAAAAAAAAAAAATCAGTCATATCAAGTAATATTCTAACATAGTAACATAGTAATATAGTAAAGCTCCCAGCAACATATCCCATCCCAATTCCCAAGTAACAATGTCTAACTGCCTTCGAGGCATCAGAGATCCTCCCATGGATTTTTCTTGGAATAAATTGCATCCAAAGCATTATTAAAGGACAATGGGTAAAATTGCACTTCATTAAAAACAAAACGTTTGGTCTCTTGTTCCAGTGCAATCCAAGATTTAGAAATTACTGCTCTCCTGCATTTCACACACTATATGCTACAAGACAGTCAATTTCTATGCGGGTTTCAAAAACCTGGTTATCCATTTGAAACTTGTAACAAAAATAAAATGTAAAAACCCTAGAATTAAAAACCCTTACTTCTCTTTCGAGCCTTTCAGTCTTCTCGATCAAAGCTTTGCGGTCCTGCCTCTCCAAGGAGGCCTCATCGAGCAACCCAGCCTCCCTAAACCTCCTCCAATCATCGGCGCTCTCACTGTCCCTCACGCCCATCACCACATTATCACTCAACAGCGCCACTGGCGGCGGCGGCGGAGGAGGGCCATCGATGAAAGCAACCGCCTTTCCCTTGCCTGTGGTGGGAGGGTTCGGCGTCCTGGGCGGCCCACCCGTTTCAACCCGGGGGTTTATCGTAAGCGCCGGCGACTTTCTCTGCGGCGTAAACATCGGGCTGAACCCAAATTGCAACTCAGAAACTTGACGGATCTTGAAACAATGCAGGAATTGATGAAACCCTTGGTGGAATTTGGGTTATTCGGGAAATTAATAAAATCCCCAATCTTGATTTGGGAAAGTGGAAGATGAATTCAGCGCAGTTGCAATAAGTTGCATAGAGCGTCGTTTGTCTTTCCTGCGTGCAGTTATCCAATCATTCTTTCATACGGTGGTTTTCATGCTGAAATTACTATACTGTCCTTTTGTTATTTCTCCATTCTCTTTTGTTTGAAATTTTAGTCATCCACTAGTTTATGTAATTAGGATTTGCTTAGAATGAACGAGAATTTTAATAGACATTGTTAACGAGTTCGGATGTGCGGAGTGAGCACTTGTTCATTAATATTACAAATTTTATAGCAGGGTCCATGGGCGACAATCACTAACGCCTAGCAGGGTCCAAGGGGTGGCAGCCCCTTGCGGGGTCTAAACGTCTAAGGGGAAGAGCCCCTTGCCGGAGTGGAATTTTATTACAAAAATAATATCTTGGAAATAATTTTTACTCTGTGGTTTACACAGACTCCTAAAACTCCTCAATTGCGAAATGTCATCCCACAATGTCAATTTTGCGGCATCTTCAATGCCAACACTCTAATTTGGAATTTAAAAACATTAGAGTTTATGATTTCTTAGTCAACAAGACTCTAATAGCCTGTCGAAAAACCAACTCAATTAAAAATTCAAGTTTGCGATTACAAACTAAAGAAGATTATATATTCTAACAATAAGTTTTATGTTTCAGTGTTATTTAAGCATAAATCATTTTTATGCATCATATATTCTTTATATATTCTTTTAGTGTCTCTTTTGAAACAATTTCAGCGGTTAGTTTTAACATTTTGAAGATACTATATAACGGCAACAATTAATTATATTAATGTTTTCAAAAGTAATATGTACAATTAATTTATCTTTTTATGCATCTGTTGAACATAACATATTCTTAATCTATGACATTTCGTGCAGTGGATGATTGGTTTTCAATGCTTTTGGCACAAAGGAGAAGTGCGTACGGCAATGGCACATGTCCTTCCGTGGCATGTATTCCTCGACTTCTACACGTACGGATTGACAATGGTGGCAACCGAAACTGGTATTCTTGAAGAACTGATCCTTCTGCACTTAAAAGGGTTGTTAATTAGTGAACAGTTGCACCGAAACTATGGTTATGAACGGTTTAGGACTCAATATGGCACTACTAAGCGGCGTGGTGATATTTGTTGCCATATCGCCAAAACATCGGATTGTACGGTCCAGATTTGTGTGTTCAAATACAACAAGTGTCTATGTTCTTAGTTGTGGGTAGCTCAACTTATGCACTCCCACTTTTTTTTTTGTGTAAAGTTGATGGTCTATTTGAAACGACATTCATATCGTCTTGCGTGATTTTACTAAGTTTGTTTTTGTATTTTTTGTATAATGGTTGCAATGTCATACGGAGTATTAGTTTCTTTGTGTAGAAAAACATGACATATAACTTGTACTTATACAGAATAAGAAGAAACATATTTTATTTTATCAAATAATTAATCAAAATAAATAATAATTTAATACTCCGTACTTTATAAAAACTTAGGTTATGTTTGGTTGGGGGTAAAATATTTTATTTGAAGAATATTTTTTAGAGGAAAATTATTTTTCGATCATATAATCCATTGTTTGGTAAGAAAATATTTTACTTCCACTAATGTCACTAAACACATGAAAATAAAATCAAAATTTTCTAAAAAATATTTTATGCCCAACCAAACACTCCGTAAAAAATTTCATAATTTTTAAAAACTTAAATGTAAAATACTCCTTGGAAAAGTAGTGGTATGCTCCCAGTTTCATACTTTCTCCACAAATGGAGTCGAAGTGATTCGTCCAGTATAAAAGTAGGCAGGCTACTTACTCCCTATCGACACTCCAATTTCTCCCTGCAATTGCGCCCATATGAGCCCAGGCATCCAAATCAACCCTAAATCCGCCTGATTTTTATCAGTACAAAGAACAGAAATTCTTCAAATGTGCTCTTCTCTGTCAACTTGTTCGCTGTTTCTTCCATCCAGCAGTCTATTTCTACATCCTCCTCCTAGCTGGAAGCATTCTTCAGCCCCATTTCTGATCAGAAATAGAAGAAGCCCTAGGTTCTTCATTTCCGCCTCAACTGCGGAGAAGAATGTTGGGCTTTCTTGGGAAGGGTCATCAGAATCGGACGGTTTCGGTGCTTACAATGGTTGGGTAGTTGTTGAGGAACCAGTGTTGAAGGAGATCAGTAAAGGTTTGGTTTTTAAGGCTTTTTTGCATGTCGAATGAGTTTTTTTGTTCTCTTACTACATACATGAAGGCAATGTGGAATTGGGTTTTTGCAGGTTTACCTACATTTGTGAAAATCAGCACATGGGCTTCTCTTGCTGCTTTGCTTGGGGCTGCTGCATATTTTTCAATGCATTTGAAAGGTAAACTATTGGGATTTATGGATATTTGTTTGCTCCATTGGGTCACGAAATGCTTGTTGAACTGTTGCTGCTTGGACAATCTGTTTGTTAGGGCCTTGACAAAGCGCCTAGGAGCGTGTAAAATCCTCTAGACTGTTCTTTGGGTTTTAATAGTAGTTTGACCTTATTGTGGCCTTGATCATGCTTCTACTATAGGGTTCCCTTTTCGCCTTTGGGGTTTGATTATTGTAAACCATGGAGAGTTTGTTTTTGGCACGAGGGGCTGGACTTTTTCCTTTTTATAGTCCTTCCTTCTTTTCTGAACTTATCTTTGGTTTTTAATCAAGTTTGGTTAGGGTCCCCAACCCTTGCCTCACCAAGTTTGGTGATTTGCCCACCGGGTCAAAAACAAATCCTCGAGACTATTCTGGATATGCATGAAGCCTTTTGGAGGAGTATGAAATGGTATGGAAGAAGAATGGAAGCATGTAGGGATTCATGAGAAATCTCTAGAAACTAAAGACATGTGTGAAGAATTTTAGAGAAGTAGAGAACTAATCTCCACCCATAGATCAAATCAATCATCACCATTCATTATGGAGATGGGGTATTATGAATTGTGATGAAAGCTTCAATTCATGACCATCCAAGACAAGAAACAAAGCCACTCTTGAAAGTTAGAGAAACCCTTTAAAATATAGACTTAAGAGAGCCTCGTTAAGAGAAAAGAAAGATAGCTCGTGAAGTCGTAATCTTCTAGCTTGAATAGTTTTATGTGCCAACAAAGTGTGAGACACTTTTTTAAAGCACATATTCTTGTAATCCTATTATTCTTTTGTAGTAGAAGAACATCCATATTGGGGACTATTATTTCTTGTTCTCCCATTATTATCTTATATTTCTAGATTCTAAGTGCTTATATCAACTTCATGAAGCCTGAAAGAAAGAGCCTTCCCAGTTACCAAACACTATTTTATTGGTTTTATTGTTTTTACAGGTTTCAAGATTCAATTTACTAGCCCTTCCAATTGCATGCAAGATTATTCAGTGCTGAATGCACAAGATAAACAACCAATTGAAATTGATTCTCTTCGTTCTGATGAGCCGTTCGAAGATGATGAGGCTGTTGATGCTAACCCAGAGAATGATTTGGGCACTTTTGGCCAAAATGTGGCTGCAGGTTAAATATGTTTTCAGGCATATAAGAATTGAAATTGAAGAGTGTCTAAACTCTCTAAAGGTTTTGTTTTTATAGGTTTATGTTTCATGCAGAGGCTTTTACATGTTTGTACATGTTTGCTTGCATTAATTTTATTACTCGTATTTAACAGTTTGCATCATCTAGGCCATTCTTCCTTTAAATTTTCATACTTCACTTTAAAGGGATTGTGAAAAGTCCTCTAGTATTAAGATTGAACCATATTACACTACATGTATGGAAATCTAGGAAGTTTTTTTTCTTGCTTTATATTTTCTAATCAAATCAGTCGCAACAATGGGATGCTAGCATAAATAAACAGAATGCTAAAAAGATAAATGAGCAATATCGTATATGTGCTTCTTTGCTGCTGTCTTAATCATGATATACTAGTCACTCAACTGTTCTTTAAAAGGACCCTAAATCCTAAATTTTTTTCTTGTCCCAATCTAAAGAGCCAAACAATATGACAACACAAGGTGAGCTACACCGTATCATAATTCCATTCTCTGCGGATTCCACTCAAAAGGATGCTTTGCTTGTGTTAAAAAAACTAGAGGTATTTGCTCTTTTTTCTTTTTTGCACTCAATGGTCCTGTAGAGTCTTTTGTGGTATAAAATTAAGGATTTTGTTGAATACCACCTCAAAAAACTCCACATACGATTTGACCCTCATAACAAGATTGTACACATGGTGATTTCACTGATTTGTACTTTATGAGCTGTTTTTCTTCTACAATTATTTTTAACCAAACCAAACAAACCTAGTAGGAATGTTTCTAACATAAGAGTACAGATTATTGAAGAATTGAAGAATACCGAAGGAATGTTTCTAACATAATAATACAGATTATTGAAGATGAGGTAAAGGCAGAAGGACTATGTACAAGGAGAGAGTATGCAAGATGGTTAGTAAGAGCAAGTACGCGACTGGAAAGGTAGACTCAGGTGCAAACGTTGTTTTATCGAGTTCATTTAATGATGATTGGTTGCAGGTGTTATTATTGAATAGCACTTTTTCCCCAAGATTTTTTATGTCATTTTGTTTCACTATGGGATCAGGAAAACTAAGCATAAAATAGTGTCATCTATTGCGCTTGCTGGCTCTACTGCTGCAGCCTTTGATGATGTGCTTATTGAAGACCCTGATTTCCTGGCGATTCAGAGTAAGGTTCAATCATGATTTATCCGAACATTCTAATAGTCATACATTTAAAAGATGACCACTTTTGGGTTTCTCTTTGATAATTCCATTTAGCTCTTGCTGAATCTGGAATTTTGCCGAGCAAGCTGTCACTGGAGAGACCTCCCTCTGGCCTGAATGATTCAGGAGGCCATAATGGTGTCAATTTCTTTCCAGACAGGTAGTGCATGTGTGGGGGATGGGGTTGGGTGAAGCTATTGAGCTAAAGTAGCACTTCCCCAGTCCCCCAAAACAAGTTCCACTTTGACTCTTGGAATAAAATTTCGTTAACTACTTAATTTCTCATTATTTATAGTGCATTAATTTAAAAGATGAAAGTTTAAACAAGATGTTTTAAAGTGTAGTAGTGTATGTATTACCAAGACATTATTATATTATATGGAGTATATTCTATTTATTTATTCGAATATAGTTGTGAATAATACTCCGTAATGACTAGCAAGTGACATTGAAGACTATAAAGTCTAAGTGGAAGCTTGTTTGTGTGATGGAGGGAGTGCCAGAGTAATTTTCTTAGTTTTTATTAATCACTACTCCCATAAAAAACTCATGTTTTAGACATTTTTGTCTCATACAAAGAGCCTATTTTTATAAAGTGAAGCTAATTTTTCATAACTTTTCCAAAAAAGATTATATAAAAATGTACTCCGTCTAGAAATGAATTTCCCATGCACTATTCACATGGTCAAATTTTATTCACTTTGTTTGCTTATTTTCACTACTCATTTCATAATATTATATAGTCATGTCACCTTTTGTTTTGTAGAACTTTTTATGTAGTTTCTAAATATATAGATTTTATTTTTAATTTTTTACAATCTTAATCAAATAAATGGAATTGAAAATATTTTCACCTCGTAAACTGGAAATGGGAAATTCATTTATGTACGGAGTTAGTAATATGATAAATTTAGGTAAATCAACAAGCAAATTTATGAAATGGACATTTGATTACTCCCTACAAGACTTGTATATTATGATAATTAAACATATCTACCTTTATAAAAAATGACACTTTTATTTATTTATTGATTTATTTTTGGAATTTATTTTTTGTTTGACTCAATAAAGTTCTCTGCCACAGATATATATCTCGTCAAGATCTGATCAGTTGGAAGGCCAAATTAGAATATGATATTATGCCAGAAGTTGACGAAGAGGTAGGTGAAGAGAAGAAAAACAACTTTGGTTTCTTTGCGAATTTCAAGAATTCATTTAACCCACAAAAGAAAGGGGAACCCTTGGTTTACTGGTCGAATACGACAATACGGGACCGTGAGGTCACATATTCTAGTTTGCATGCATCGCACCCTTATGGTGGAACCCTTCCCTCTATTATCGCTTGTTAGGAATGCTTTGTGCACTGAGTTGCCCTTTATATTAAAACCCACAAAAAAAACACTTTCGAAGTTTCATTATGGAAATTTTTCTCTCAAATCTGACCCTGCTTACAGTCCAGATATCAAGGAGGAAAATTGGGTTTCTTGATGTGAGAGACATTGCATCAGAAGTGCTGGTTGACATTTTTGTGGATGCTCTGGCTAACGAAAGGAGCATTGCAAGGAATGCATTTGGTCTCTCTCTCTCTGCCATAACCACACTTTTCCATCTTCATTGTACAAAATCTCTGACTACTTTTTGATTTATAGGACAGAGCAATAGGTTTCAACCAAAGAAACCATGCACGAATGCCCAAGCAGCAGTGGCTTTAACCAGCGGGAAAATGAGGGAATACACACAATCTGAACTAAGAAAACTGGAAGAAGAACGCTCTTCGCGACTAGAAACAATGGAAAAAATCAAACAAGAACTTGTAGATAGAGGCGAAATACAACGTTTTTGGCAGAATAAGATGGAAGAAGAGAAATGTCTCAGCCAAGAGGCCAACACAGCTTATCTTGCTGCCCTCAAGGATTTGGATCGCACAAAGGTTGATACGGAGAGTGCCCGAGCTGAACTTGTGAAACAGAAGGCTGCTCTTGACTGTCAAAAGCAGTTGCTTTCCAGCATTGAAAAAGAAGTCGAAGAGATGTCAGGCACACTTGCATCTCAGGGGCCCATCTGTTTGGAAGAAGAACGGCGCGACCTTCAGGCTGTGCTTGGTGATTTGCAAGATGAGTACGACCGCAGGCGCGATTCAAAATCTGTACTGGAAGCAGAGGTTGAGGCTCTGAGAATTCTAAGGTATGTTCTTAGTAAAACATAAAAGCAACCTTTTTTATCATGAATTACTTGATGACACTATGGACACAGACAGAATGTTGTAGAACTAATGTGAGATGATGAAATGGACAGATCATGGATCGAGAGCGAAGCAATAAAGAGTCAAGTGCGCGTGAAGGTTCTCGAGGAGGCAGGACGTAGGTGGAAATGGGAGGGAAATTGAGACATGAAAATTCCATTTGTACCTACAAGGAAATGATGCTCTCTATACTTGTGCTTTTCTTTTCCTTCTTCTTAGGTTCTTGATATCAATTTCTTCAAGTTTTTATGAAAAATGCATCTAAGCTCATTGTGATTATCAATATCAATATCAATTTTTACATTTAAGTTATTACGTAGTAAAATGAAATTTGGTCTATGGAAATGTAATAATATTGAAATTTTTAATTAAAACAAGTGTGTTCATATCTAGTTGGTATGCTCAATAGTACTATAGACCCATTTACAGATTTTATTTGGTAGCAAGAGAGAAGGGATGGTGTTATTACCTTGTTTGCCAAATTGCCACATAAACCAATTTTGGTAACAAATATGATTTGTTACACCCACACCGTGCACCCTAATACTTTTTTTAGGTGTAAGGATATGTTTCGAACATTATATAATTATTATACAGAAGGCAATAATTGACCAAATTTAAGCATTTAAAATAAACACATTCCATCTTGATATAATTAAATGTCTCATTTGGATGTTTCAAAATAAATCTTGTGTTTCAATATCTTGAAAGAAATAAGCACTTCACATTAATTTTCTATCTTCTCTAGAAACCTCCATTATATAATACCATTTCTTTTAAATTTTGTAAAAGTCAAACTAATACATTTATTTGGAGAGGGGAGAAATAAAAGTTTATACTTCTTTCGTCCAATAAAAAAGTCATTTTTCGTAAAAAATCTTCATGTATAGCAGTAAAAAAAATGGAAATATCAAAATAGAAGTCCTAAGTGTTTTAAAACCAAAATAGGAATTTACTGACAGTTTGATGTAAGACCACACGTTGGCAGTGATATGAAAAAATGATAACAGTGTAATATGGAAGTATGATCAATCAACACTCGCAGATCTGCGGTGGTAATATCGCGGCCGGTAAGGACGGATGGCAATGCGCAGTGATAGTGTGGCAGTTGTAATGTGATAATATGGTGAGTGTGACAGTGTAACAACGACATTGTGAACTTCTATTTGGGTCTTAAAATATGTAAGACACCTATTTTAATGTTTTCATAGTTTTTTTTACTTTATACAGGGAGTTCTCCCTTTTTTTCATCCCCTTTTCAATTTTTCGAAAGAAATGTGTGGTTTTTATAATTCGAATGATGCTTACATAATTACATGGTCCCAAAGTTCACATTTAAAATATAGATTTTCTCATATATTTAATGAGCTTACATGTGGATTTTTTCTATTTTTCAAAAGGCCCATTTCTTTATGCTATAAATGCACTAGAGTTCATAAAATAAGCATGAATCTTAGGTACACAGCAGAATTTGCTTTATAATTCTTCTCTTCTCTACATCATTTTCAGTATTCCGTTATATGAAGTACTTCTTCTATCCAAAAAAGAATGTCACAATTAGTGTTTCGGCATCTCAACAACTTTTGCTTGTTTACTTGTTTTGGCTGACCATTTTATAAAATAAATATTCTTATCAATTTTTTTCGTAGAACTTTTGATGTACTTATGAACACTATAATTTTTACTTTTTATTTTTCTCTATCAATTTATAAATAAAATAATTTTTTTTAAAAAAATTATATTTTGAACGTACTTCGAAATAATGTAAATAATTTGAGACGGGTATAATTTTAGAGCAATGCTAGGGGTACACCAAAGGTGTATCCCATTTGTCCCTCACCCTCTTTTTCACCACCCATTTTTATTTAATTTTTATTTATTTAATTTTTTTTTTGAATTTTTTGCTCATTTATGTGGTGGAGGAGGGAGTGAGGGATAAATGGGGTACACCAAAAGTGTACCCCTAACATTTTTCATAATTTTACTCTTTTTTGAGAGAAAAATGCTAGGGTACACTAAAGGTGTACCCCATATGTCTCTCACCTCCTCCTTGTCCACATAAATGGGCAAAAAATTCAAAAAAATAAATAAATAAAAATAGATGGTGAAGAAGGGAGTGATGTACATTTACGGTAAAGCCCAAAGGGAGACATGATCACTTGTTGGGTCCATCATTCAACCCCCAATCCGAATAAAATCTGAAATTCACGTGCACGTTTAGTGGAGTTTTTGATGAAATTTTCTATGTGGCCACTGTGCAATGTGGGGTACGAACGATCATCCCATTTTCTTCTGTCTGAACCTCCGAGAACGGCAAGAAGGAACATCACCGCAGTTGCTTTTTTCTCCGGCACAACGCCCGCCGGCGGTGGCGTCGATCAGGTGAGTGGATTTTGCTTCTACGTTCCTAACATTTGAGTGGATTTTGGTTTTGACGATTACTGCCGAGTTTGCTCATTGGTTAAGATAGCTGTTAGGCGGGATTCACGAGCTGTCCTGAGCACGAAGACATGGGTATACGATTCCTCTCTTCCCTGGAACGAGAAATTCCGTGCGGTTCAGTAGATTTGAGATTCATTTCGGTATGTATTGGATTTCCGATGTGGTCTTCATTGTGGCGCATGAACATTTGCAGGAACCGAAGGAGTCCGTTTGGGTTCGGATCTGTGGTTAGCTCCCAACCCTAGCAAGCGATGGGGGGAGCTGTTCTTCCTTCTCTACACTCCCTTTTGGCTCACCCTCTGTCTTGGCATTGTTGTTCCTTTCAAGCTATATGAGGTATTTCTCTACCATAGATTTACCTTCCGCTGAATGATTTGCCTCTCTCGTATTGGGCTGAAACAATATAAGAGACACTAGTTTTTGAAAGAGATAATCATAAGGATTGTATTGCTTATGCTGATGAATTGATATTACAATATGAGGAGAACACACCATTTTATAGGTGTTTAAGAATTAAGACGGTAGGAAGATGTTGTGAGTGTGTTGTAATGAGATATGACGATTCCAGGTCTAGGAGGGTGCTGTGATAGTTGTGTGTGTGTGTGAGTGATTAAGTTGTAATGTGTGCTCCATCATTGCATCTCAACAATGTGTGCATGTGTGTAGAGATCTTAAGGTTTATTCATGATGGGGTATTGGCCCAAATCATATCTAGTCAATGTTGGAGGTCCAAGCATGCATAGGAACACTAAGCTTAGGATCCCAAACTGTCATGTCTGGTCCCGATGATCTAAGGCTCAGGTCAGACTGTGGTGGGTCAGCTCACCAGCTTGTCAGAGGCACAAGGTCTAGGCCAGAGGTGTGAATCAGTCTGTTGTGATGAGATGCAAATAGGGACAGTTTGTAATTTTCCGTTGGCTTACGCTGGTTGACAAGAAAAAAACATTTGATGTGCATGTTTCCGTTCACATGTCTTTGGTTAATAAATTATGGTTCATAATTTGAACTTTGGACTCTGTTAATTTATTTATTTATTTACTATTTATTTATTACTTCTTTTAGGTATACAATTGCAATCTTGTTTGGAAATCACACATAAAAGTATTGCATCTCTTGCTCATGACCTTTAGTTGCACACCCCCATTGTCTTCTGACAGAATTTTACAGAATGGGAGTACCTGCTTTTGGCACTTGTTTCCGCACTTCCTGCTGTCATAATTCCAATTATATTTGTTGGAAAGGTAATTTGTTCATTTACCCTATTATTGTTTGATCTTAACAACTATGCTTCTTGGTGACATATTGTTATAATGTCAATATATTAGTTGCTGGAGGAGCTTCCTTTGAGTAGTGGTAGTGCATGACATGTCATGTTTCCAGAATTGATAATGAATGCGGATTTACTTTTCCTTGTCCTTTTGCAGGCTGATAGGAGAATTCACTGGAAGGATAGGTACTGGGTAAAGGCAAGTATTCTTTAAAATTAAATTTTCAATGGCTTAGTTGCAAGCTTTGAGCTAATTTATCTTTATTTTGGTCTGTTTTCTGAAAACTACTTCCTGACCAAGGGGTTGGCCAAGTTTGTTGATATGCATAGTGATTTTACAGCATCAAAAATTTCTATCCATCGCTGACTCGTGATTTTTTCCATGCAAGTAGACAAACCCTTGGATGATAACCCTTTTGGAATTTTGTATCATTATGGCTTCTCGCAAGAAGGTTGTGACGGGAGGAACATCCAACCAAAACTTCCTCAGAACTCACAACTCTTTTTGCATGAATTTAAAATGGCAACTAGTTTTAGACAATAAAGTGACATTCTTATTTTCATGCCACCAACCTCATCAAGTTGGGATAGAGGTGATTGTGATAAAGGTGATGACCACCATCATCACGGTCTATCAGATTGTTGAGCAACAGCAAGACTTTTCTTAGTATGTTTGAACTTTTATAGTTAATTGATTTTGAAATTATGGTGGAATATCTCTTGATATAAATGCTGTTATTGTTATTGTGAATTTGTGATAATTATTGTTGTTGATAACCAAGTTGCTGATACCCCAGGCAAATATCTGGATATCACTTTTTAGTTATGTTGGAAATTACTTTTGGACTCATTATTTTTTTTCGGTATTGGGGGCTTCCTATACATTTCCTTCTTGGAGAATGAATGATGTAAGTACAAACCAAACTTCAATTTCACCTTGATTGATAATTTTATTGATTACTCAGTCTCCCTTCATGAGAATACGATTGTCACATTGCAGGTGCCCCACACGACATTTCTTCTCACACATGTCTGCTTCCTGTTCTATCATGTTGTGTCCAACATAACACTTCGCAGACTAAAGGCATCTATTTCTAACTTGCCAGAAAATATCCAGTTGCTTCTGAAAGCTAGCTGGATCCTAGCATTATCTTATTTCATAGCATATTTGGAGACTGTAGCCATTTCTAATGTATGTGGTAAACACGTCTTGTTTAAAAATTAGTTTTGTTTTGTCCAGACGTTAGTAATTTATCTTCTAAAAGTGATCCCGTACACCACATTTCTTCACTTCAATAAGCTACCTTTTAAAAAATATCTTAAATATACATTAGAGACATCGCTGTGATGCTTCTAATTTTAATTTTTCCCATAACTGTGCAGTTCCCTTATTATGACTTTGTGGACCGGGCATCTATGTACAAAATTGGCTCCTTGTTCTATGCAATCTATTTTATTGTCAGTTTTCCAATGTTTTTGAGGTAAGAACCTAACTGGGCACTACATTTCCTCTATTTGTTCTTTATGCATGGTTCCATTGCTCTTATGGTGTTACTTTATGTTATCTGCACTAGTTCATAACAATCCAATAAATTCCGGAGTACATGACAATTAGCAATTTGACACATCAATAATGGTTACTGAATGCATTAGATCGGCAGAAAGACTATAAAATTTATGAGGAAGTTGTTTTCAATGGCAATAAATAAATGGCCATGAACGGCTTGAAGGGTTACAAGAGATGGGTAGTTATTTGGTCTTCAGGATAAACATGTAACATTCTTTGATGGTTCATCTCCATTTATTAGAGAACTCAAAATGTTGATTTCTTCTGTTGATCTGTGGATGAATGCACATTACAATATGAGAAATCTGCAATCGATTGGTTCACCACAATTACTTGTCAAATGAGTCATTTACACAATTTGGTGGAACACAATATTCACCTACATCGACGGTGTTCATTGATATCAAATCCACCACAGGCTGCTATTTAGTGCCCCCTCTGTCCCGCCAATTTAAGGACATGGGAGAGTGGCATACAAATTTATGAAAAGTGGACTTGTGTGGTTAATAAGTATTTTGAAAAAAGGATAGATTGAGTTGAGACACATAATCCATATCAAACATGGCATGAAACAAAAGTATTGAGACAGTCCAAAACGGGAAAATGGGGCAAATAATGGGTAAATAAAGAAGAAATTAATGGGTTTATAAGTTCTTGAATCTGTGTGTTGTAACAACAAAATTGATGAAATTAATGGAGTACAAGTTTCAAGACTTGGACAACAATACTCCAATCTATTTGTTAGAGTATCCCACATCAGAAAATAAAGAAGAAATTAATGGGTTTATAAGTTCTTGAATTGAGCTAGTAATCGATTTGATTCAATCTTTTAATGTGGTTCAACCCAAGTGTCTTATGACCTAGGCAAATGATCCCTGCCCCATCCTAAATTCTATCACTATTTGATGCTTACTCATTTGTCCACCCTTTATAAGTTCAGTACAATCCCACTCTAAAGTCAGTTACTCACCTCTTCCAAGAGAGTCCATGTGCAGATGTGCCTCATGCATAGATTTCATCTCCATGAGTGGATAAATCATAAGAACATATACACTTACATTCTTTCGGATTATGTGTGCTTCATTCTCGGGGTGGATAGAAATTTGAAGTGAAAATCTGTTTTTTTAATTGAGTGATGATTCTCTCTTAGCGTCAAACCATGTATGCATCTCTTTACACATTTTCTTGACCGCTCCATATACTCTGTTCCCAGAAGAAAGTTATGGTTTCAGTTCACGGAGTTTAAGAAAGTTGTTGGAAAGTGAAAAGTTTGTAGATAGAATTTGTTGAGCAGAGAAACGCAAAGTCACTTAATTCTTTCCTTTTATGAGACGAAAAAAGTGGGAAGGATATGTTCAATACTTTTTTGCATTGGACAAAAAGGAAAGTGGGAAGTTCTTTTAGCGACGGAGGGAGTATGTATGTGTCTTACAGAGATATATTCTACTTCAATTCACATCTTCTTCTTGGTAATTTCCTCAAGCATATGTTCTTTTCCTCTACCTGTACTCAACTACTCATAGTTCTCTAGGTCTAGACAGTTAGCTTTCCACTGTCCAGTTACAGCTGGAGTGAAGAAACACTATAACCTTTTACAGTTTTAAAATACACAAGTTTTGTATTGCCTGTTTCTTTAATCAATTTTCAAGTTAATTTTTTTTTGAAAATGGGATTTATCTTAATGCACAGGATTGATGAGAAACCAGGTGACCTATGGGACTTACCGAGAGTAGCCATCGATGCTTTGGGAGCTGCAATGCTTGTAACAATCATACTAGATTTGTGGCGCTTATTTCTGGGTCCCATCGTTCCTATTCCAGAAACCAAACAATGCCTTCAACCAGGACTGCCGTGGTTCCAAGAACATCCTATGCGGGTTTAAGAAGAGTCCATCGGCGAGCCAGCTTGATCTTTTTAATCTGTAAACTCGTGAATTAAGGTTTGTTTCTGCATATTTTGATTGCCTGTGTTTACATATATATGCCTTCTGCCATTCTTGAGGTTGTGTTCTTATCAAGTTTTTGCGCCTTTGATTGACCTCAAAAACTCGAGATTAAAGCGTTTGAACTCTCAATATTTCTGTATAAACAATCACTGTAAAATCCCAAAGGGTCTGGGATTGTGTGTACGCAGACATTATGTAGTGTCTTTTAGGGCTAATCTGTCATTTATCATGACAGTTGATGAAAGATTATACTCCCTCCACAATTTGTTGTGTCTTTTAATTTTGTCTACACCAATTTTTGTGTTGTTTTTTTTTGGAAACTTTATGTAGTTAATTATTGTTTCTGTTTTTTTAATTTTACATAAATCTTAGGAAAATTTATTTTTACATTCTTAAATTTGTGATGGCTAGCGGAGATTAAAAAGAGAAAGCCTAAGTACTCAATTTTTTCTTCTTTTCATGATCTTTTTGGAAAAAGAGATAAAATGATTATTGAGAAAATGACTAAATTAGGACTAAAAGTGAAAACATAGAGAAAGTACCAAATAAAAGGTTTATGTTTTTTATCTTCCAAAACAAGTGTACAATGTCAATAATATTAATATATAATACCAAAATTACAATGGAATATTATTATATAATGCTATAATGTCTCATTGCAAAACTCTATTTTAGAAATAAAAAGAATGAGCTCTTATTTGGGATGAAAAAACATAACGAAAAGGAGTAAAGACTTATTTGGCTCGTGAATAGTAAGTGTTAAGAATCTAACGAGGCAAAAAAACACTTATAATTGAGAATAACTATTGAAATTTATCATAACTATAGTAAGGGCACGATTCTGTTGACATTGGCCAACGGTGTCACTAGTATTTTTGGAGCACTTTCGGTGTTCCAATCAAAAAAATGATGGTTCTTACACATCTTAACCACTCTCTAAATCCTACACCCTAGCTCCATCCCTACCCCCCCTCCCCACGCCAGCCCCGCCCTAGGCCTTCCTCCAAATATGTGGTTTGGGTGGAGGTTTAGGGAGTGGGTTAGGAGGAGTAAGAACCGTCAATTTTCCAATTAGAGCACCGAAAATGTTTCAAAAATACAATGGCATCGCTAGAGGCACTGTTGGCCAGTTTCAACGGAACCCACTCATATAATAATTGTCCTTATAAGAAATTATATGTCACAAACACAAGTTTACACTAACATCCAAAAGTCAATACTTCCTTCATATAGAACTTCGATATTTAAAATTTAATGTCAAAAAATACATTTATAAAGAGTACCTTCACCGTTAATTTTGGATAGAGGAAATATTAAAATTAAATGTTTTTCAATATTTTTCAAGACGGTGACGTGATCTTGTTGGGTTGTGCTCCAAAGCTGGGCTTAGGATGCTGCTTGATTAGTGGGACTATAAATGATCTAAACAATAAACAACAAAAGTTAGTTAAATAATTGGCACCCAGAGAGAGCACAACCCTACAACAAACCACATGTTTCCATGTTCTGTCAACTTATTTTAATCATTTGTTTTTTTACAAAAAAAAAATAATTTCTTGTTTTCAGTGTTATATATCAATGCCTCGTCTCACTTTTTTTTTTGTATAATCATATTGGTTCATTAAGCCTCATTTTGGATGTCAATACTCTCCCCTTCTCACAATTCGAACAATGTATAAAATTTTATCTTTTAAAAATTGTTTTACTTACAATTATGTATAGAAATAAAAAATATAAATTATATATTTCAATACTACATCAAATGTTTTACTCCGTATAAAATAAGATATGACAAAAATATTTTATATTATCAAATAATATATGAAAACACGCAAATAAATAAAATTTATTGAAAGGTCATAATAATAACTGAGACGATAATTATAAAACAAGGGAGTGTGTGTGTGCGTATGAATATATGATTTTTCATTTGCGTTGAAGACACAAACTCATGGTGTAGTTATACATTGCTTTTAAGCAATGTATGACATGTTGTTATATATTACTCCCTCGGTCCCAAAAAAAGGTTATAATTACTATTTCAGTCGCTCGATAACTTTCGTTTGTTTATTCATTTAGTAGATTTTTTGGTAAAATAAAATATTATTTTCGCACCTTGTTTTGTAAAATTTTTAATATACTTTTGAACAGTGTAATTTTATTTTTTGTTTTTTTACCAATTTATAAATAAAATAATTTTAAAAATATGATATTTTGCACGTCCCTCAAAATGTCCCAAACAATTTGGGACGGAGGAAGTAATATTTAAGACTACTTTTCATTCCCCTAATCTGATCTGATCTAATTTTTTGAAGATCAAGTTTGATATTATAAGATTTGATTTTACCTAATCTGATCTAATATGTTTATATTTATATTTATATTTATATTTGTTTCTGATCTAACCAGATCTTGTCTGACATGATCTAATATGATTGGATCTGGATCTAATTTGATTAGATCTAAAACTCAAGACTATTTCCGTATATGTCAAACATGAAACTTGCCCTGAATAACAAAATTTCCATTTTTACATTGTTAACCATTATCGTTAGGATTTAGAAAGACCAATTTTTGTCTAATCAAACCAAAAAGTTACGGTTGCATTAGTTTTAACATCAAAATTGACATTGCATACTTCATGTAGCCATGTAGATCAAATTTGTACATGACTAAATGCAACTCAAATAATAATTGCCCGATATATATATATATATATATATATATATATATATATATATATATATATATATATATATATATATATATATATATATATATATATATATATATAGACACGCAAGAATCGGCATAACATTATTATTTTCTTTATCGTGGGGACGAATTTAAATGTATCACTGCCGAATTACCTTCTCGACCAACTAAGCTACGCCGGGAGGCTATTTATCATAACCCTTTTAAAAGCGCCTTTCTAAATTTAAAAATCTAATTTTTGTTGCTAAACAATAAAGAAAATTGACAGCTCAAAACCAACCCACACACAGTTGAGACAGGAAAAACACAAAAACGTATAAATGTCAGCAAATCCATATTCTCCCATCTCTTCTCCTCCTCCCCTTCCTTCTTAATTTGCTTCTTCATCTACCATCATTAACACCTTCTGCCACCACCATTCCCACCAATGGGGGCTCATTTATTGCCCCTTCTATTCTCTATCCTCGCCGCCGCCGCCGCCGCCGGCAAATCTGCCCATCTCAAGCTCCCCTTGCTCCGCACTCACCCCTTCCCTCCCACCCCTTCTCAGGTCCTCTCCTCCGACGCCTCCCGCCTCTGTTCTTTCAACCGCCGCCGCGCACGGCTGCCCGTCACCTCCGGCGCGTCTTCCGGCTCCGGGCAGTACTTCGTCGAGCTCCACCTCGGCACGCCGCCGCAGCGGCTCTCCCTCGTGGCTGACACCGGCAGCGACCTCGTCTGGGCCGCTTGCTCCGCTTGCCGGAACTGCTCCACGCGCCTCCCGCACTCCGCATTCTTCCCCCGCCACTCCGCCTCTTTCTCGGCGTTCCACTGCTTCCACCCTAGGTGCGGGCTCCTGACCCACCCCACGCGCGCCCGTTGCAACCGCACGCGCCTCCACAGCCCTTGCCGGTACGAGTATTCCTACTCCGACGGGTCATTGACCGGCGGGTTCTTCGCCACGGAGACGGCGTCGTTCAACGACAGCTCCGGCAAGGCCGTCCGGTTCAAGAAAGTTGAGTTCGGTTGCAGTTTCCGATCTTCCGGGCCCAGCATAACCGGCCCAAGTTTCAGCGGGGCTCAGGGAGTGCTCGGGCTGGGCCGCGGCCCGATTTCTCTTTCCACCCAATTGGGTCGCCAATTGGGGAACAAGTTTTCTTACTGTTTAATGGACTATACTCTGGCGCCGACTCCGAGGAGCTATTTGGTGATCGGCGACGGGGGAGACGGCGCCGTGAAGAGCTTCACGCCGTTAATTAACAACTCATTCTCGTCTACCTTTTACTACATCGGGATCGAGAGCGTAACCGTAGAAGAAGTGAAATTACCGATCAGTCCTTCGGTATGGACCATTGACGAGCTCGGAAACGGCGGAACGATCGTCGATTCAGGGACGACGTTGACATTTCTGGCCAAGCCGGCGTACGACGGAATATTGACGGAGTTCAAGCGGAGGATCGACCTGCCGGAGCCGGCGAATCTGACTTCCGGGTTCGATTTGTGTATAAACGTGTCGGGCGTGTCGAAGCCGAGGCTACCCAGTCTGAGTTTCCGATTCGACGGCGGAGCCGTCTTCGCCCCGCCCGCCGGGAACTACTTCCTGGACACGGCGCCGGACGTCAAGTGCCTCGCATTGCAGCCGGTCGCCTCTCCGTCGGGGCTATCCGTCATCGGAAACCTAATGCAGCAAGGGTTTGTGTTCGAGTTCGACACGGATCGCTCCCGACTCGGGTTTTCGCGGGCCGGTTGTTCCGTTCCTTGACTCGGTGAGTCGTGCTTCGCCCATCCCACTCGGACTTTTTTTTCTTTTTAAATATTTTTTGGAGTACCATTTTATTTTATTTTTTCCTTTAAATTCTTAAGAAGAGGTAAACACTAAACACGCAGCCAGGGGCAAAAGTGGGCACTTGGTAAACTTAATTAATGTGTAATATTCTCCCTGTTTCATAAGATAAATTAAATTATATTTGTAATAATATTAAGGAAATATTAATTTGTTTAGTTTGGAATTTATCAGTAGCGTTTTTTCTAGTCTTTCGAAATAGGTTCGATTTTTGAACTTCGTATATTTGACTTACATTTATTTATTTATTGAGTAATCTGACTTAAATTTATCAATATATGATATGTTTGGAAAATGGTGTTTTCGTATTGAAGTTAGCATTTTCGACAGTTTTTTCGGAATGTGATTAAACTTTAAAATGTTAAAACTAAATGGTGATATTAGAGCATCTCGAATGGAGAAGCGAACGGCTCAAGGGAGAACTCACTAAATAACAATAGAAAAAACTCTAAAAGCACGAAAATATGAGTTGTAAGTCTTTTAAGACTAAAATAAGAATTTAAACTGTTATCGTTACACTATCACTGCAACTCCACATTATAGGGTAGACAGTATACATACTCTCCTTACTTCTCTTAGTGCATCATTTCTCTTCTTCACATCAGTGTCACATCATATTCAACTAATTTTATATAATTTCTTAGTGCGGGTAGGGGGCACATACACCAATTTGCCAACTTACTACAATGATTTTTTAAATAATAAAACTAATTGAATTATGTAAATTAATTTTGAAATATTATTTAAATAATAAACTTCAACCAATAATATAAAATAATTTTAAAATGTGTATTAAATACTGCATCTGTTATAAATTAATAGTTTGGATTTGACTCTCCGTGGAGTTTAATAAAATAAAAATTGTATAATTAAAAATAATGTAAAAGAGTGATTACCTATACCAAAAAATATAATTAAATAAAATTTAATTTCTTAAATAATTAATTCTAAAATACTAAAAAATTCAAACACAAAATAAAATCATAAAAATAATAAAATTGGAGGCGTAGTCTAATCGCTGTGACTGACAAATGCTTAGACTTTAATGCTGTACTTATACTTCTTGGTAACACCACTCAAGGGGCATTGTTACCCTTTAATGCCAAATGTAACATAAGCATATTATGATTACTTTAGACATAATATTATTCACGTATTTAGACCGGGTTATTTGCTTATTTTTTATTGGAAAAATTAAACTTCCAACTTTTCCAATTACCTTTAGTTTCTAACTCCTTCTAGTTTCTTCCTACAACGAATTAAAAACAATATTTATATATGATAAATACACATTAACATTATATATCCAAATTTATAACATACCACTTGAGCACGAATAACGATAAATTCTTTTTTATTCAAAATTAAATTTTTTTTACATATTTATTTCGGTGATGACTTATTGAGTGACTTTTCAATACATAAAATCATTTCAGTTTCTGCTAACATCCATCCAACTTTAAATTCTAAACGAAAAGAAGGTGACCTTAGTTTCTAACTTTGGGCAGCTATGTATCGCACATAGTGCGTTGATGGCTAGTAGGGTATATATGGAGGTAGGCCCTGAAGAGCCGTAACAGTTTAAGGTGCAAACATGGGGGGTTGTTGGCCAACACAACCTAGCGCCCAACTGTCATCACTTATTGCCAATGCCCCATCCACAAAGGAATGGATATGGTTTGGATGTCAATGAATCAATCATCTATGGAATATGGATTGGATGGAGTTTCACCCTCATTCATTCAATCACTCTCCCCCTTTTTTACTTATACATTTCATTCATTTATTTTTGATTTATTTATAGACCTCATCAAAGTGCAGGTTGGACCAGGCTTTGCACCGGGTCGAGATGTTTTATTACGAAAATTTTTTAGGCCCGAGCTCGATCTGACCCGTATAGCCGGCGGGCCTACATGGATATCCACGAGCTTTGAGCATAAAATCAGAGCCTGGCCCTAAAATACTCATACCGTCATTTATAAAACCTGAACCTTGCACGTACTCTAAAGTGTCAAGTCCAAACACACTATTTTACAGGCCGACTAGATACATTGGCTTGTGATCGGTCTATTCATTTATAATCAGAAGATAAAACAAGTGAAACACATGCAAAATGAATGGAATAAATTAACAGCTCCATTCCATTTCTACTCGGCAATGGCGCCACTCTGGTGTCTCTAGTCGCTCTGATGTTTCATTCATAAAATTGATGGTTCCTGCCTTTCTCGGTAAACTTTTCATCCCGGCCTGACCAAAACTCATCTCATATCCCCGTCAATTAGTAACTTTGGAGTCAATTTTTTATTCCAAACTCAACTAAACTTGAGATGATCTAATAGACAGGAGTGAGGGTCGGTTCGGGTCTGGCCAGGTTAGAAGGTTTACTAAGAGGTTAGATGGAGTAGAAACCATCAACATTACAAAGTGAGAACCAAAGGTGTTCGAAAAAGTCAGTGACACCGGAGTAGTACCAGTGCCCAGTGACAAGGGAACCATAACAATTAATCAATACCCCCGTGGAAGCATGTTGGCATAATAGTGACATAAGGGTCACCTAAGTTTCTCCACATCTAGTGTTTGAGTTTCATTCCTGTATTTTAGATGTTGAGATTATAAAACTGAATAGATACTATAGTGATAGGTCTAGGAGCTGCTAGAAAACTCGTATTAATAATTTTGTAGGCTTATCGTCAATGGAGAAGACACTGGAGCTGGTTACGCAGTTGGAGACCGGCACTAGGTCGAGTCGCTCCTCCCTTTTGCTTTCGTGTATTTCCCTCGTTTTGTGTGACATGTGGTGTGTGTGTGTGTGTGTGTATGTATGTATGTGTGT